CTTGTGGTGTATGTTCAGGAGAGTAGGATTTGTTGTCAGTGTAGCAGAAACTTGTGGTGTATGTTCAGGAGAGTAGGATTTGTTGTCAGTGTAGCAGCAACTTGTGGTGTATGTTCAGGAGAGTAGGATTTGTTGTCAGTGTAGCAGCAACTTGTGGTGTATGTTCAGGAGAATAGGATTAGTTGTCAGTATAGCAGTAACTTGTGGTGTATGTTAAGGAGAGTAGGATTTGTTGTCAGTGTAGCAGCAACTTGTGGTGTATGTTAAGGAGAGTAGGATTTGTTGTCAGTGTAGCAGCAACTTGTGGTGTATGTTCAGGAGAGTTTATAGAAAGGTAAATAAAACATAAGTAAACCATGTCAATGTGCTTAGCCTGTGATGAAATTATTTATTTTACTTTAGTGGCTGGTAAGCACAACGAGGAGGTTCTTGTGTTAATATTTCATTCTCAGACCCATGTACAATTTTAGTAATTTCTCTACGTTTATAGAGATATACAGACAGGTACAGACACACACAGAGTCGACTTTGTCTTCCATCCGTTAACGCTTTTTTTACCGTTTGAATGATTTAGCTTTTTGTCCACATTATTAATTTAAATCATGAACAGATAAGCACGTGTCTGATAGAGAGATAAAAGCCCGAGGAAGCTCGTGTCTCTCGAACAATGTTCTAATTTGATGTGTCACGGAGCACGCGCGCCCGAGAGAAAACTCGAACACAAAGTACTTCACATCGCATAAGCAGCGTATCCTGCCAGATGAAGACGGGAAATGCCAAACACGAGTTCAACAGTCTTGTTTCTGAGGGGAAACAGACCATGGTGTGCAGACGGAGAGAGAGAGGTTTATTGGTGCCTTGTTTAAGTATTTCTCGTGCAGAGAAAAATAAGGAGGTCCCGAAGTTCGAGATGAGGATCAGATTAGCGAATACGACTTATTTAGTTAATTAAATCTCGATTAAAGTGTACAGTTGCAGACCGGGGAGGGACGCGGGGTACGCGCGTGCTAGTTAGCGTCAACAAACGAGTGCTATGTGATCGTACAAGTCATCCAGTTTTACCTCACCTGTTAGACAAAATAGTCTACGTTCTGAATGTCATGTGACTTTTCGTGTTCGTAGGATAAAGAAGTAATCTTTATTGGACTTTGCTTCACCGTCCGCTAAAGCTGATCGTTTTTTGAAAATCGAATGTTTTCATGTATTGCTACATTGTTGAGTTAACACCTTTAGATATCTTGCTTATTTTACTCTAATTTCTAGCGTTTTCTGTCACTCCCGGAATAAACGGAAAATACAGACTAGGGTTACATTCCATATATATTTGGTTTTTAAGTTTTTATAACAATGACTTCTTCAGCGGAGAAGATACTGGTGAATTGTTGTTTTAATTGGTTGTTGTAATGTTCCAGTTGGCATCTTTCTCTAAATGCCTGTTTACTCGTACTAAAATGTCCGAATCGCCTAGTCACGATGTAGTAGTAGTACAATTACCAGCAACATTTTTTAGGTCAAGAAATGCTCTCGTCAGCGGAGCTGTTGCCTAAAATATCCATTAATGACTGTGGTATCGCCGAGAACGTGATAATTACCGACCCAGGGACATCGTGTGAGCAAGATCTAGCTGACACCGTGATGGCTACGGTAACATCTAGTCCGGAATCAGCGCCTCTAGCGTCGAAGGATTTAACGTTCAGTAAACGATTGTATTCAAAATCGAAGGACACTACGACAACTACTGCAACAACACATGCTCAACAACATGTTACCGACACTACGACAACTACTGCAACAACACATGCTCAACAACATGTTACCGACACTACGACAACTACTGCAACAACACATGCTCAACAACATGTTACCGACACTACGACAACTACTGCAACAACACATGCTCAACAACATGTTACCTTGTTGAAAATGACGAACACAAGACCCACTGATCGTACGGTGGCCATGGTAACAACTAGTCCAGAGTCTCCAACATCTACAGCTCATAGAGACAGAGGATTAAAGAAAACGTTGGAGAATATAACTACTGTAGCTTCTTCCGGAAAAGACAAACTTTGGGATGAACAGAAAAATAGTGATAGTTTCTACTGTCACGAGCCCCCAAAACGGGACATTCGAAAATATGGAGTTGAAACAATGTCTGTTTCACCGGATTCCTCTCTTCTCACGGAATGTGGGCATATTTCAAGGGTTTACTCCCTTCAACAAAACGATCATCTCTCTTCTTGTCTTTCCCAGACTTATGAACAACGCACGAAACGGCCTCGAAACCTAAAACCACAATCTACCAATTCAGGAACTAAACGTTCAGATAAAATTTCTAAAAGTCAAGACAATCTTTACGTTGAGCAGACTTATAGTTCAGATAGTCACAACTCCGGACTACACCAACCATCTTGTTCACAAGAAGCAACTATATACGAAGAAGATATGCCAGTTATAATGAGACGACGAGGCTTGATGATGAGAGTCAGAATAGTCAGCGTGGATTTTGATACTCATTCTGATACAAATCATTTGTCTCAACCTCAATCCAGTCATCGGAACCATGTGAGTATACTGTCAAGGTTATCTCAGTCCAGTCTTCAGAACTATGTGAGTATGTTGTCAAGGTTACCTTAGTCCAGTCTTCAGAACCATGTGAGTATGTTGTCAAGGTTACCTTAGTCCAGTCTTCAGAACCATGTGAGTATGTTGTCAAGGTTACCTTAGTCCAGTCTTCAGAACCATGTTAGTATGTTGTCAAGGTTACCTTAGTCCAGTCTTCAGAACCATGTGAGTATGTTGTCAAGGTTACCTTAGTCCAGTCTTCAGAACCATGTGAGTATGTTGTCAATATTACCTGAGTCCAGTCTTCAAAACCATGTGAGTATGTTATTACGTCTAGTTTTAAGTTAGGTAGCAAACTTAATTGTTTGAGATCTGAACACAAGTGTTACGTCTGGTTTTAAGTTAGGTAACAAGGTTACTGTCTTGTTTGAAGATCTGAACACATTTGTATTGTCTGGTTTTAAGTTATGTAACAAATTTAGTGTCTTGGTTGAAGATCTGAACACAGTTGTTACGTCTGGCTTTAAGTTAAGTAACAAATTTACTGTGTTGTTTGAAGATCTGAACACAGTTGTTACGTCTGGCTTTAAGTTAAGTAACAAATTTACTGTGTTGTTTGAAGGCCTGAACACAATTGTTACGTCTGGTTTAAGTTAAGTAACAAACTTACTGTTTTGTTTGAAGATCTGAATACAGTTGTTATGTCTGGTTTTAATTTAGGTAACAAGCTTACTGTCTTGTTTGAAGATCTGAACACATTTGTTTTGTCAGGTTTTAAGTTAGGTAACAAACTTATTGTCTTGTTTGAACGCCTAAACACAGTTGTTACGTCTGGTTTTAAGTTAGGTAACAAACTTAATGTCTTCTTTGAAGGCCTGTCATAATTGTTACATCTGGTTTTAAGTTAAGTAACAAACTTACTGTGTTGTTTGAACGCCTGAAAACAATTGTTACATCTGGTTTTAAGTTAGGTGAGAACCTTACTGTCTTGTTTGAAGATCTGAACACAGTTGTTTCATCTGGTTTTAAGTTAGGTAACAAAATTAATGTGTTGTTTGAAGGCCTAAACACAATTGTTACGTCTGGTTTTAAGTTAAGTAACAAACTTACTGCCTTGTTTGAAGGCCTGAACACAATTGTTACGTCTGGTTTTAAGTTAAGTAACAAACTTACTGTGTTGTTTGAAGGCCTGAACACAGTTGTTACATTAGGTTATAGGTTAATAAATGAGCAGTAGCAAGTTCTGGTACTAACGTAAAATAAATGAACCTAGTCTCTTGTTGTGTTTTTTTTTGTTAATAGGGAAGAAACGGTAATTTTACATAGAAAGTTTCTTGGCCCTGAATGTGAGTATAATCATGATGTACAATGTTAAGGCTGAGTTTTGAATAATTCAGTTCAGTTTTAAGATGATAAAGAACTATATATCTTCTTTTTTGTGGAAAGTGGAAAGACATATTTGATGACCTACGATTACGTGACCGTATGGCGCTATTGGAACAGCGCGTGGCTTTCTATATACGCTAGGAATTCATTGATGACCTTCATCAATGAATTCCTAGCGTATATAGAAAGCCACGCGCTGTTCCAATAGCGCCACACGGTCACATAATCGTTCTATTTTTTTCACAGTGACATCTAGATATCGAAGAGAACCTTTTGGTGCCACTTTATGGGTAAAATGTGCGATATTAAATGTCCCGTTATCTAAGAAACCAACACAATATATTTTCCATGTCACCAAACACTAAAGATGTCATCAACATATCCATAATAACCTACGATGTGAAATGTGTATCACTCCGCTCTTAACAATGTAGTAAGAAACATTTTGAAGATATTTCGAGTAGACACAACTGAACTTTATTAGGGACATGAACACATAGAACGGATGTTTCCGTTTCAGAGACGACAATAACCGATACCCACACTGGAATGTGTTTCCAATATGGTTATCTTGATAAAAGAGTCAGCACAAAAGTTCACATATAAAGTGGAATAAACTTAAAATAAGACCCAAAACTCGAGCGCTTTCGAAGAGTTGATTATTCTTCTGAGTTTTGAGTCTTATTTTAAGTTTATTCCAATACGATTAGATAGAGAAAGATAACCTACAATAGATTTGAATTCCCTTTATGCTTCCTTCTGCTATAAAATATATGTATTCGTGTTCTATAATCATCAAGTGTTTTCTTGTTTTTGTTATGGGGGGTGGGTGGAACCTTCCCAACATGATCCCAAGAGGAAATGCGTCTCTACTTGGGGCTAAGGAGAAGCATTAGCCTCAAGCTCATGAGGTTTACTGGGGTGGGATGCAGTTATGGTTTTTGTAGTTCCTAAACGCTGTACAATGTAAGTTGTGATAATATTATCACAGTCTCTACCAGTACGACATTACTGTCCATAAATCCTGTTAAAACCTGAAAAATATAATGAAATAAGCTGAACAATTCTCCGTGAAACACCAGTGAAATATTATCTGATTAGAAGTATTCTCTTATTTTCTCTATTTCAGTTTGTTGATAGGCGCAAAACCACACAGTGGTCCATAAGTAACGTAATACTGTAGTAAAGAGCTGTAGAATACACTAGAATAACTCTTGGAACGCAGCTATTTGGTAAGTAAACCACACAGTGGTCCATAAGTAACGTAATACTGTAGTAAAGAGCTGTAGAATACACTAGAATAACTCTTGGAACGTAGCTATTTGGTAAGTAAACCACACAGTGGTCCATAAGTAACGTAATACTGTAGTAAAGAGCTGTAGAATACACTAGAATAACTCTTGGAACGTAGCTATTTGGTAAGTAAACCACACAGTGGTCCATAAGTAACGTAATACTGTAGTAAAGGGCTGTAGAATACACT